GGTGAGGGGAGAGGGTCGAGGGAAAGAGAGTGGGAGATCCTAGCTGGATCGGGAAAAGAGAGGGAGAACAAGGAATGGGAGACCATGGTGAGTGAAGACCACATGAGAAAAGGAGGAGACAAAAAGCTGGAGAGGCCCACAGAAATCCACAAAGATGCCCCCACGAAGGACTGCTGGCAGTGGTCGGGAGACAGCTGGAACTGGCCTACTCTGGTGATGGGATGGCCAAACACCCTGATAGTTGTGCCATAAGCCCCATCCAAGAACTGAGGAATCTGGATGCAGACATCCACTTTCTCAGTTTGAAAAAAATGTAATTTCTTGCTGATGATTGTTCTTTCTATGTTCAAAGATTCTTTATGATAACCAACTTAGTATTTTTCTTTAGTTTCCACTCCTAGATACAACATTTTTACAGATAACTGATAAAAATTATAAAACTTTTCCTTGCAAGCACTGAGAGTAACATGCTACCAACAATCTAGTTAGCTATATAACATATTATAATTTAAAAAGCAACACCATAATAAAAAATTCATTTGCTATAATAGTAAAATAAATTTCAAAGTAAAACAAATACTCATTAAAATATTTCCACAGGGCCTTGCTCTTCTAATGGAAATGCTAAGTACAATAACAAGAAAGGTTTGAGATATAAAAGCCATTTTTAAGGTTTCAAAACCATTTCTCACTCTCTAAATGAATAGAAAGATGAAAGCAAACAATGATTAGTTTTCAAAAGATCTTAAATCAAATGCCACACTCATAGAATGCCCTTGTTGACCTGATGTTCAATTATATATTTTAGTTTTATTTTTCAAGGAGAAGCTGAATAACCATATGCATAATATAAAAGGAAAATATAAATATTACTTGGTTGGTTTTGTGTTTGCTTAAAACATGTATACTGCTTATTAAAATATTTTGATCAGACATTCAAGGAAGACATAGTATGAGTTGAGAAAGAGCCTAAGTTTGCATATTAAGAGAACTTTAAGTCTATGGACTTCTAATATCAGCTTTTACTAGTATTATAATTAAAGCTTAGAATTCCACTTCTCCTCAAGAAACAGCATGTAGCCTAATGAATGGGACACAGAAATGATGTGGGTAGTTCTTAGCTATCCTAACTACTCTGAATTTGCTATTAGCTTACCTTATGTCTTTCCTTCCAAAAATTACTAGGATTCAAATAAAATATTTGTAATGTATATGTAGGACTTCATCCACTTCACATACTTGTCTTCAATTAAAACAATGAGCCAAT